AATTTGCGTACAAATCCTAAAAACCTAAATCACTGAAGGACCCAGAGCAACGTCCAGAGAGCCTGTCATCTCAAGTTGTTCGATGAACTGAGTTCTGATGAAAACAGCCGCTTGGCAGATTGACAGTTGGTACAAATTTGGCTATTAGTTCCACAATTTTTTTATTACTCAGGTGGTCGTGTGCTAACCTCCACAGTATTGTGATCGAGAATTTCATCTGAAGAATTGGATAAAGGCGGCGCCCGTTGTCCTGTCTAGGTCTGACCGCATATTATAATAAGCGCAGACGCCAAACATAAATAAGTGTACATTCGTGTCAGATCAGCCTCCGAACGATTACACAAGCGGGTTCGGTTTGCTAGCTGCAGACAGCAGTGTGGGCAGGCGGAGTACTGTAATTGCTTACGCCTCATCATTTGTCGATTTCCCTCATGTCTCACTCATCATATAGATCCCATCTGGTAGGTGTACGTCGGTCAGTCGTCTAGGCAGATGCTCGCACTTTCCACCAGTTGTTCGCCATTCAAAGCTTGTTGCCCTACTTTCATTACGAATTCCATCTTGCGGGTTCTCAGATAGACAGAAGGGGTTCTATTCACCGCGCCTCAGACAGTTATTTAATGGACATTAGTTGCATTCCTGAAGACAAACTAAACAGCGCAGTACATTGAGTGGGCTTCTAAAAGGGTTAGATTTAAGCGAACTTTATCTAGGCACTGTACTCAAGAAGTTTGAGCGATTATGCAGCTGACTGCATCAATCAACACCAGCTCTTCAGATGTTCCTAGGTTGTGTTCCATTAAGGCTGTTGGTATGTGGTTTAGGGGTCCGATGACTTCACACACTTGAGTCAAGCTATCAACTTAAACGGCACGCAGATACTCCAGTTAGGAGTAAACTCACAGAAGGGTCGTGAAATGGAGCACTACAGAATAACACAAACTGCGTCAGCCAAGGCGATGAAACCATCATCCCATTTAAATGTCTTCGTCTTGGACACCTAAGCAGACGCGGTGGCCAGATATCAGGTAGTGCTCTCAACAGTGACGTATTACGGCCAACACAACAACAAACGGGGGCATATCCCAACTAAGGTGCATTCAGTCATGTGTATATGCATGCAGAGAAACATCCACAAACACTGGTCGAGTGCGGCTGCCAACTGATCTGGGAACACATCAGTCAGGAGGCAGGACACGCACCCAAGTTACTTTGGCCCGTAGTCAATTGGAAACTTTTATCCACAAGGTCGGATTATGAGATCTTATTCCACAACGACGTGTTTTACCTTATGATTTTCGTGTATAGGCAGGTGATTCCAGGTTATTAAAGACACGCGTTGAAATCATTTTCAACCTGCACACTTCGTACATGTGATGGTGAGCTCCGTCTGATTGTTTGTTTTGGCCATGGTAACAATGCGTTTGGCCACGGTGAGCGCCATTGTGCGTCCCACAACTGTTGGGCAAGCCTTTAGCAACGTTGATTACGTTGCGATCAGTTAAAGGCGGTACAGATCATTCCAAGGCCGCCGAACATTCTGTTCTTGCTTTGAACATGATTTTCATGATAAACACAGGGAAAGATGAAAAAGTTTCATGAGTTACAAGTTGGAAAGGAAATAGAGATTCGTAACCATTCGTAACCATTTATCAACAAGTCGCGTCAAACAAATATGCGGGTTTTTCAAGAGTCTCACTACAAACCATGAAAACGTTTTCTCATAAGTAGCGAAAATGTATGCACATGTGTAAAACCACATCAAGGCAAGTTTATTTGGCTTACCTGACCTCCTAACTTATCTGAAGTCGTACATCGTAAACCTATCTTCAGTCAACGTCTGCTTCGATGCAAACGAAAATGGATGTGGAAGTTAGCGGAGTTGAAATCTGAAGTAATATCACGTCGGTGTGTTACAGTTCCTAGTTTACATTGCTTTCTGTATGTTATTACTCTACCGGGAATACTGCTGGAAAGACAGAAAAGGTTTAAGCATAGGGAGAAATCCATCACATATCTGGTAATTTCATTATGCACAAAGTGAATTCTTATGCGTTAATTAATTGGAGCATGATATTTTCCACTAGGTACGTTTATTCGTCGAAGTGTGTCCCTTACCTACCACAGGTATGTAAGAATAAAAATTCACTGATTCTTACAACTAAACGTGTCTACATAGCCCTGAGGGTAGGCAGCCTTATCAACTAGTACACCTCGAAGAATCGTATGGGATAAGTATGTGAAAGTTCCGTGTACCTACGAAAACTGAGAAAGAACTATTTGCCCTCATCTCTGTTCAAAATAAGCACACCTAAACGTCATGTAAGACTGAGGCAACATTCACGATATAATCACTGATATCCAAGTATGCCATACGTATAATCACAGTGCACATGCGAATTCTAGCTAGGGAATACGGCTGGGGACTAACAGGATGCATACCATTCGGACTGACGGCCTAGCATGTCCTGAAGGGTTCCCAGCCATGTTGAGGCAGGATTACGTGGGCGTAGTCCCGATGGTGCAAGGATCTCACAAGGTTAGTTTAACTGTAACCAATTCGATTTCTTACCAAGCTATGGAATGTATCCACAAAGTGGGATTTAAATACCTCGCCTAACTTCCCAGACATAAATGTGATTCTACATTACGGACTTATCAAGTTGAATGTCATTCAAGAAGGGTCAGATTCTAGCACTATTGGCTTTATCCCCTTCAATGAGGGATCACATTGATACAGTCCTTGACCAATTTCCGAACGTCACGCATATGCGTCTGATTCCTCCAAATATTCCGCATTTTCGAATGTGCGATCCCCTGTTTTGAAGGTGGCTTGGTTTATCATGATTAACAGCCAAAGAATGTAGTGCTATTTAAAATGTAACACCGATGTAACGTAGAATAACACTAGAAAATAAAACTAAGTAACAGCCAATATTAGCTGTTTACTAATGACGTCAAGTAAAAATTCTCAGTAGATTATAGCTCCCAAGTTTTGAAGTCCATGTGTAATTCATGTCCACCATTAATCCGTAAACACACAATACCCCGTATGGTAAGTGATTTATCGTAAGCACCATTTCACCCTACAGAAAGAAAAACTATAAATCAGGAGGTTGTATATTCCTGAGAAATCGAACAAATTGGTGTGCGTTTTGTGCAGGATTTTTGGAGTAGTTGAATGTGAACACGTTTTTATGTTTTGGCTAGACTCAAGCTTACCCTAGAGAGGAGTTTATACATTTTTAGTAAGCAGTTGATCGCCTTCCCGATGAGTTTTGTCAAAAATTCGGTTGCATAAGCAGCTTGATTAATTTTAAAATTCTCGTGACACCTAAAATGTAATTTTGGCTACCGGGCGGGGATCCTGGTTTTTTTTGCAAGTGGTGATTGAGCTGAGCAGATGACCGCCCTGAAAAAGCAAGACACTGCACGCTTCATACCCCTGAGCATCACTGGATAGATGTTGTCCGTATGAGGAATCTCCGGTTTCGCTCGTTTTTTCTCTGTCTAGAATAATTTATTCAAACTTTGGAGTGATGTTTGCTTGTGCAACATACTGAGGGGTGATTTTACGTGCTTAGAGCTATATGATTTTTCGTTTTCTTGATTCGGGAAATCTTCGCAACAAGCCGTAAGTGCACTTTGATACATGGGTTAGGGAATTTCTTTTCTTCTCGAGCACACTGAGCACTTATTCTTCCCCTACCGTCCTCTTAGCACATTTTTTTCATTTTATTGAATATACAGACCGCAGCAAGTTTCATGAATTGCGGATGCACCAGGATTTACAGAAGCCAGTCACATTAGAGTGTACTTTTCCAGCGCACACATTCCTGTTGCACCACCTAAAGATAAGCCTTACTTACGCACATTTGACCCTCACTATCATTGCGGCATTGCATTGGCGAATGCCGCTATCATAACTCAATGAGCTTAGAATGAGTAATATTGCAAGTTACCGTTTATAGAGAGCTGCACGATCAACCGTTTTTTGTTGTACATAACTCTGGGAAATCCAGAACAGTTCCGTTTTTCTTTACGCCATTAATCGTTTGGATGTGGTTCAACGCTCTGTAAAGTGTAGTCTATGATAATTAATATATGCAAGGTTAACAGTCATTGCTGAAAAAAGCACGAAAACTTAAAGCATTTTCACTACTCCTTAATGTAGTAATGCACTAGAGTGGCATGGCAGACAATAGTTTTAATGTAGTTCAATGAGCAACAATTATACCTACTACTGTCGGTTTATAATACTTCAACAGAGGGCTCTAGTAATTTGTGAATGTGTGCGTCGCAACACTGATGTCATTTTATGGGAGAGGAACATTATTGTCAAGTTTACTGATTCATCCCATAGAACGAGGAGTGTAAGTTGCGCCTGATATATTAAAATCTTGTGTTTAAAAGTTTTCAACCATGTGAAAGATTTGAAGTTTTTTTTCCAAAATATGCAAAGATGGATATATTCTACGATGAAAAGGTATCACACCACACCTCAGGAAAATTCATTTACACGAGTACTTTAACTACCAAGTAGGGAGACCTAATACTTTGAGTTGGCTCAGAAACCCCACTTCAAAAAACCTGGATTCCCTGTTCTCATGAAATTCATTGTGGTTTTTTGAGGAACAACATCAAGCCCAACAGCATTTTGACGAAGAGGCCTGAGCGATTTATGAATCTGAAATCGTAATGTTAAAGAAGTCAATCATCTTTCGGTGGTCGAAAATAAAAATGTAAATCACTGCTAGATAGATAGCGAACCCAATAGAAACAATAATTACTGGATTTCTGTGGTCAGTAGTGTTCGTGCTTCATCCCTTCCATGAGGAATCGCGTACTATTTTTCATGTGTTGCCCGAAGATTCTTTGGAGTATGTATTTAGCCAGTTTTCCTTCCGTGACTTTGGCTTACAACATGAATTTTTGCTCACCAAAATAAACGTACTGTTAAATGGGATTAAATGTTTCTCTTTGTTGCTGTTGCCCACAGATTTGAAGACAAGAAAGCTCAACTGCACGTTGGCGAGGGAGATAACCTTATTTTTGTATGCCCGGAACAATTTTCTTTACATTTATTAATATTTTGGGTAAGCAAAAACTCATGGCTTTGTATGTGTGCTTGCTATTGCTTTTGCCCCAAAACATACGCCCACTTGATTAAACTATCGAATGCCCCACTGTGAATCACTGACCGGAAATTGTCTTCAAGCCGAGTAGCTACGGTACTGATACACACCAGTTACGAGAGTGATGTTGTAGATTTAAGGTTCATAGGTTCTGCATTCCCAAAACAATATAGTTTGGCAGAGAGTACTCTTATGAGAATTGTCAGATTACTTTAAGTGCACGAGAAGGCAGCATTTCGGATATGACAGAACAGTCAGATAGTCTTTCTACCGATTTCCGTTTGATCCGATATTTGACATATTAGAGGCTTTGTGCTGTGTGTTAAGGACAAACCTGCAAAGTCTGAAGTTTCGCACCTCAGGTGTAACACCCGTTAGCGCACCACAAATTAAGTCCAAGTCAGTCTTTTCAGTTTCCTGTCCATAAGAGTTTGGATTAATTTTGAACCATCAAAAGACTTCGAAAAAATTTATTGTATTAAATTTATTGAATTTAAATGCTATAAATTCGCTAATCAATAACAACCGCCTTTGAAAACACCATTACAATGTAAACCGACCCCATAGTCTACACACATTATGATCGTTGTTTCATATATATGCCTAAATACTCAAAGTACTAGGCGAAAAGTTACGTGTTCTCTCCTGTGTCCATGTAGCGATGACCACACTGTTATAAGATGGGGTGATATGGTATTCTAGATTCAAACCAGTGAAAATCAGATTGAGGCGCTTTAGCATAAAAAAAACCAAAGGATATATACTCTTATTTAGGCGCTCTTTTAGCAAGGCGTGTTTCCTCACCAAATTGCATTAATTAGATCAAAACAAATAAAAACCGAGATTGAAACGGCCAAATATCTGGTTCGTTAATTTTGGATTGGTAAAGCCCATTAAAAATCAGATCGGTGAAAATGTAAAACGATCTCTGACAAAATTTTGGAAATTTAACATAGTATAAAATATATTGCAGATAAAACCTGAACCAAATACAATGTCGCTATCGACTTGAGGAGACCCGTGGCCGACACATCGAAAATGCATAATATATAATAACGAACCTGGTGACCGATGTAGGGGGTTCATCCTCTCTAGATTGTGTTTAAAAGCAAGATATGTGCAGAAAACGGCTTCTGTTCAAACTTATGCTGTGGATAAAAAAGAAAGTGCAACGCTGGAGATGGTCGTAAATTTATAGCACTCAGCCCAACACTCCATAGGATATTCCAATAAAGAACTTTCTGGATGTGTGGTCAATTTGCTGGTGACAAAGTGTCCCGTTTATACCGGCCATGAGGTACCAAGTGTTTCTGGTTTCTTTATTTAGACATACAGTCAAACGGCGTATGATTACTGCGACACATCCGGCGAACAAAGCGTGCACCAGCTGATGTCTTGCAAACAGCAGGAGCGTCAAACCGAGTTCATTCTGAAAGTCAGTCAGTTCTCAGAGCTGACTCACATTCCAATCTTTCGTCCAAATAATCCTGTCTATTTTTTGGGTAAGTTACTTATTGTCATAAAAAAGAATGGTCTACGAAAACACACAGTGTGAGTTAGGTTTGCGTGTCACCCCTTCATTCATCATTCATTGCTACAACGGTGGTAAATGTATTCATCTATTGAAAGGGCAACACTTAATTTCGAAACACAGCATAGGTAAATAAAATGTTATAACTAGGTATTTTGGCAACCATCTTATAGAATGGATATATTACATATATATTACATTTATTTCATATACACATGTACATATATGTAAATATATAGATAGTACACTCTACATAGTGTTCCATCTTTTACCACTGCCCGATTCGAGTTTGACCCGGAACTTCTAAGTGTTGTCCCCAACATCAGTAACACTGTACCTTGTAAGAGCGCTGCTCACTTTATACTTTAGCCAAATGCAAAAGTGATCCTTCTTAAGAATACTACGTGAGCAATTTTTGAGCCACGTTGTAGTGGAGAGACTATGAGTCCTAGTTAAAGACTAATTAAAGTTTTGGTCAAAGAGTTGCGGTTATTGTTGCATTTGTATTGCATACATACACATGTGCAAAGTTATGGGCTTAAAGAAAAGCATGATGTCAATATTTGCCCTCCTCATTTGTTAATTCATAGTCTGATTTTCTAATTCCACTTAGCTATCTCTAGGCAAGACACGTAAAATGTGAGCTGATTCTGTCAGGTGCATCACTCTTAGTTCGAGAAAATAACCACCTAAAAAGGTGGTGTATTTTAGAAAGAATTTTCCACCACCAATCCTAGTGTACCTTAAGGCTTGAGTTGTAAGCTGAGGCCACATGGCCGTGACCTTTAGGAGCGTCACGGATATGTTGCCTCAGGTCACTGTACATTTGAGAATTACGGTCATTCACGTAAACGATTCTGCCTTATAAGACAGTGAGGCCATCTAACGCAAAAATTGCTCTGATATATTTGGCACATACATAGCAATAATCATCCTAAATTATCGTTATTAATTTATTTTGCTTATTTTTATTTTATTATTTTAAAATTTCATTTATTTTGTTTCATTTTGCCATTGACATTGTTGCTATTAAGGGCATAGTGGTATATTAGGAAACAAAAAAACTTACCAGGAGTGATTACGGCCAATATTGACACCGCAAAGTTAAACGTTTTATGAAAGGTAGCAACTTATCCACAGTCCTGAATACCATCAAAATTACGTACCATATAGATAACGACTTTTCTAAGTTGCTTCATGTGGCAGTTTTTATCTTTCAAATCTTTTTAGCTCAACCGCCTTACTGTGAAAAACACGGAATGCGGATTGTTGTCAAACTGAGCACTGGAAAAAATTCAGAAAATAAAACCAAAGCTATCGGTGAGTAGCAGGCCCATGAACTTACGTGTGTTTACAGGTACAAGTGTAAAACACAACATCTTTGTCTGGATCCAGTTTTCTGCTAACAGAAATGTCTGCGCGTAGCTTTGTTATCATGAAATGTATGCCGCTCTATATAGAAAAAAATCTTCACTTGAAGTAAGCTAATTTGGAGCAAAATGTTTGTTTCTCTTCAACTTCATAAAGTACAGGTAGACTAGCACACAAACGCGCAACGTCTACGTAACTACTACCGGCCAATACGGTTGTGAATGATGTTAAAATGAGGAGTATTTCAGGTTCAAAAGACCCCAGTGATATCAGGAGATTATCATTTTCAGAGACTCAGCATAACATTAAACAGTAGAAAGATGGCACCGTCTGTTTCATCTCGTTGTCATTCTTCTGCGATCATATTAGCCCGATTGTACCATATTTGCTCCACGCTTCAGTCGTTACTATTCCAGGCCACACTCTGACATATTTTCCGAGCCTAAAAACCTACTGGCAGTCAGCCTCATTATGACGCAATTTACCTGCTTGCACTCCTTTGCTTTGGTAAAAGCAATTCGTCAAAAAGTGGTCAGCGATCAGGGTTTCTTTAGTAGGAACTGCAAAGTATTAGGTCTTTGCGTTACGTATTCTTTATTACTAATCATATTTAGATGCTAGGGGTCAGGTACATAGGCGTCATTGATTAAAAACCAATATTGGTCCGAATGGTCCGAATGGGAAAATGGAGTCAATTCGAGTAAAAGGCCTATTGTATCATCTTCAATGGGACTGTTGAGGTGTTAAATCTATTGGGGTCATAGAATTTAGTGAATCTCCCTTACGAACGGCCAAACATCTACTAATTCACGAAACTAGTAATATTGTGATGTGTAGCACACCTTTAATCTAATGCGCAGAATACACATATGCGTAAATTCGACCTTGGTGTAAATACGTCGAACACCAGACTCAACTGATGGGTTCGTATATACACTAATAATTTACTATTGATCATTGCTTCAGTCCCAATGGCAAGCAGACCACACAAAATGCGAAATGAAGGTATAAATAAAAAATATTCATGAGTAAGGTAGCCCATGAGAGACTGAGTGTGTGGTATTCCCAGCTGTATCCACTTATTGGTCTTTATATTGTGCGTAATTTATTTAACAGACGGTCTAAACAAATGGTACTTAATTTCCGGATCCATTATAACGCCCACTGTACTAAAAGTTGGTATTTGTGAGATTCAAAACGAATGCCAGTTTCGTTCACGTTTAAAGATAGTATTCTTTTCTAAAATAATTGTTCGAATTATGTACTACCATCAGACAAGAGGACTTATCAAGAGATTGTTTGATTTTTTAGCGTTACATTGCATTCAAGATAAGCTCACTTTTCCCATAGCACCTGCAAGATATGAGTCAGTTTCTAATTGTGCAAGTTAACATGGGAAAATACATGGCTTGGGGTGTGGATTTCATTTACGATAATCTCACGGAATTACATTGCTTCAGCCGTAAATCGATAAGTGAGCAAAACCATTTGTCAGTGTTTAAAATCCTCCGTCTGAACTGATCACGAGTCTGTTAATATCTCGTAAGCTGCGTCGTGATAGCTGACGGAGTGTTTGTTTCACACCAAACAATCGCTAGAAGACACTTCCAATGAGTCTCCTTTGCCGCACTTTTGGTGATATGATAGGAGACAATTGGATATGTTGAGAACTCAGCATACTAGCTGGAGACATTTAGCAGCAGTTTAAGAAATGATAGAGCGTTCCACAACAAGATAAATAACCTGGGAAAATTCTGAGGTTCTGGAGATGCGATGCTGTTTCGGAACGTATGCGGTACATTTTCTAAGAGTTTCAGCCCAACAAACACAACGTATTCTGGATGGATTGAAACAATCCGTGCCTCCGTATTAGAAGGCATATTTATACGTATGCTGTTGTGGTATTGTTCCTTGTCCAATCTGCAAAGCTGTCATCTGGGAACCACTGAACTTCATCAGCACGCATACTGATAATCAACGAATGCCGTTTTCTACTCTACTTTTTTAATGTTTACTCCGGAAAAGGACTTTTTTAATGGTGGGAATGATTTCCTATGAAGGCTTGGAAGTAATGAACGGGTAGACACAAATGAATGATAGAATATTACTCACACAAGAGCTGACTTTTTTCTTTAGTGCGTGCTTTGTTATTAGCGAGTTGTAGCTGGGGTGTTGCTGTTGCTCATCACGTTTAGTGACAGTGGGATGATGGGTCACTACGAGAAAAGCAGATTCTGCATTCCACTATTTCCTTCAAAACAAAGGAGTCTTCTTACGCCCTACTGCTTGTGAATAGTTGTCAGGTAGTTCTATCTTGGAAGTTCCTATCAGATCCTCCAAATACACAGGTAGGATTTATACAAAGAAGTAAACAATGTTGATATGAGCCGGTTTTCATAAGCGGTTTACCTATCGCAAATCACGAAAAGGTTCAACGTAAAATTTGAATGACATTACATTAGAATTTCACACATTTGTTCACCCTGTGGAAGAGGAAAACCAATAAAACTCAGTTTGAACTCATTTCTTTCATTTTAGATTCACAGAGTGAAGTACCAACGATTCAGAACTCTCAGATTCAAAATATCAAAGCCAATCTGCAGCGTCGTGATGGTCAGAACAATTGGGTGAATTATCAGATATTTTTGTTGCCCGGGGTGCTGGCACTCTTAACGCTAGTCGGAATGCAATTGGTAATATGCGCATTCTGGATACCGCCGTCTTTCGTTCAACGTTTAAGACACTGTTTTCGACGTTGCTGTCGCACTAAAAAGAAGAACACGATGTGTGGTGACTCTGACGAATATCAAACCATGAATCATTTGGAAAACAACATACACGCAGTTGACACAGCTCATCTCGACTGGAACTTGCAACCTTCTAGGGATAATTTCCGATACCTCTACCCATTCAGATCAGCTGATGATTCCGTTCATATGGTCCCCAAACATCAATTCCACCAGAAGCATTACAATAATCCTGATTGTTTGAATACCCAGTTGTGCGGGACTGAGTCCATACAAATGGCTCCGCTGTATACGTTCATCGATAGTGATAATATCAATGCAGTGCATCATAGTAATTTTCAGCCGGTCTATGTTGTGGATAATCCCTTGGCTCTTGTAAGGGAACATCAAGAGTGTCCGGTATCTATTGTGAACACGTCAAATTCCACCACAGACTCCATCAAACACTCTTCGGTCAGATTTGTATGCTGAAATGCCTATATTGTACAACAAACCCAATGCATGGGTTCGTCATGTCCGATTTTTTTCTATTTTCATATGTTTCAAATATCTGGAGTTTATTAAAACATGCATTTTTATGCGGAACATTGCAGAAATGCACCTGATTACCATAACGACGAAGATAATAGGTTTTTTTGTTGCAGACAAACTGATGATACAAACCCACAGTATTAAGATGATGGTTGTTTTGGTTGATTAGGTCAGTGGATACACACTTTCACAGACATGACCACAGAACCACACAAAAAGCCCACTAATAATTGTCTGAAAAGCGAGATTATACCACCAAAATCATTTTATATTACTCCTAAATGATGGTGAAACTTATTGTTCTGCATCAACTTTGGAATATCTCGTTTGGAAAGTCAGTTGTTGTATCAGACTTTAGTCGTAGCAATATCAGTTGAAAAGGTACTAGAATTAGAGCGCAATAAATATTTCCATTCAACCTGGTGAGTTCCCCATAATCGACAGAGATTAATCATGAGGCTGAGGATCGTCGCTACTAGGTGTGTTAATATAAGTTGACAAATTGTTTCCTGCCATTGGATAAAATTTGTAGCGTAGTACATGGCTAATCTATTAATAACGAAAATGAAACGACTTTATGTAAACAGCATCTAGTAACTTCACAAGTGGAACGCACTGCAGAATTTTGATGACAGAAGAAAACCGCTTTCACGATATTCCGGTGAAGTGTTATAGCTTCTTAAATGGGTTATATAAGTTAGGTCCTAATGATAAGAAAACAATGATGTATACAATGTGTACGCGTCGGTTTCTGTGGCCTGACTGTGCCCGCGGACACAAATAACGCAGGTATGTTTTGTCGGAAATCTACTGATTACTGTAAGTTTATCTTGTTACTAATATGTGGTGACTTTTGAGAAAGTAAATGGAGATTTTGTACACCGGTAAGTTACACGCTTTATCTGACAAACAAGACACTATAAATAGGAATTTAATCACAAGTATAGGGCAACTTTAAATTTGCAACCAGAGATTTAAGGTTTCTGAAAGTGCAATTCTTGGATAGCTAAAAAAGTAAACATACTACATTGGGATTTGTCAAGCAACCTGGATCTAAATAGAAGTAGATGGAGTAAAATAATTGCAGACTGCATGGTGAATCGAATACTTAATTCCATTCTTACATGCACGAATCACATTTGGGCAATCCTTGACTTTCAGACAAGAGTTAGACGAAAGCTCTATGATGACGTTTTGAGAAGACTGTGCGACAACAGCTTGATTCTGAAATACCTAAACCACTCTTGCACTACTACGTGGCTACCATTACCAAGTTATTTCCGCATTTGTCGATCATCCACGAGCCGTACCTTACATAGTATTTTCGGGCATTACCAGACGATGGTAGTCTATCTTTGATGGTTTCGTAATCAAAAGAATAATAACTGTAAATTTTTAAGACCAACTACAGAAAACATCCTGATGAAGTGATTCTAAATTGCGCGAAGTTTCCGAAAAAAGGCCAAAAAATTCCATTTGTGCAACTGTTAAAGAGTCATATTTTGTGGTTAATTGAGCTACACTGAGGATCCTCCTGTCAGCAATCGTCTTTCATATGCTGTTTGCACAATATCGGTCAGTTTACCCAAATACACGTAGAACATGTAAGTCAGTAGATGGTAAGTGGATTTCACCGAGTGGAAATAGTAGCTTAACAAATGAATATGTACAGCCGAGTAAAACACTTTGTACTGAACAGGTATTAGCCTCGATTGATATGATTTTTTATCTTTTTGAGGCTTCATAATTGGGCCCTAATATTAAAAGCCACGAACTTGGGTATGGTACATACCTTGTCGACTTTGATGTCCAGTGATCTACCGGCAATCAACGAAGCTGGTTCGTGATGGGACTTATTAAAGCCACTCTATCCAATTTTCCAAAAGCCTGAGAGGACACAATCCTTTAACTCCTTCTTAGACCTCATCAGTCATCAATATATATCACATGTTTACAAGCTTACTGCATGATTATCGCAGTGTGGAAAGACGCGCATAGACAATTATAGAGTAGAGCATGGTAAACGGAATTTAGTGCAAAGGTATAGAGATGCTACGATTCAATGGAATATGCACAAAATCCGACTGATTAAACTTAATTAGCATTTTTTTGCCCAATTCTAGCACCCGGGTGTCTGATTGTATGAGGTAAGCGGAACCGTCTGTAACTATTAGACTCCAAAATGATCATATGTTGAGAATCGGACAAATTAAACTTTCTTCTGTGAAGCAGTTCAAGTTAGTATGCAAACTAGATTTATTTTTTCAGCTTCCGATAAATCGTTCCCTGGGATGACGGCAGTTTGTCGGTAGAGAGCGTAATTTACATCCATGGATTTTTTATTAAGGAGTAAACTGTTATTAAAATTCTCCGTGAGTTTCATTCAATTTTTTGTTAATCGGCTTATCGCTTCATAGCTCCGTCTGATGTGGCAATCTGAAAGTTCGTAAATCGATAGGTCTCAGGTGACAAAGGGGCAAATCCACTGTTGGATGCTGATTGCGTTGTCTTTTCAAAATAAGACGGCCACCGAGAGAACCTTTGTAAATTCAAGTGGCGGAAAATTTTGCCGTTGTGTTGTTTCTGTCATATTCACCAGTGATTTTGCCGTTTCGGTCACTTCCTCACAATTTCTTGTTGCGCTATTTCACGGTTCATTGAATCACCAAACTAAATAATGCGTTCAAATGTGGTGGCAGAGGTTGTCTTGAGCCTATTCACGCCCTTAGATGCAATATTGAGATTTACTAACTGCCCGTCGGATAATGCAGCGTGGGAAACGATAATCACAACTGATATTCGGAATATAATGAATCTGTTTAGAGCCTGACTGACAGGATGACCATCAGTGGCCAAGTCCTTAAACAAACGAATATAGATGGTAATAGAACAACATCCCATTAAATGTTGTAGAAGGTAGAATGAATGACTGTAATTTTGTAACTGTGTGATATAATGTAAGAACATCGTTCCCCTCGTTTTCAAAGCAATTGTATCGTGCGGTCGGGTTTCGTGTTCATTTAAGGCAGATGCTTTTTGAGTTTCAGGACTTCGTTTCGTTTTGCGAGGCTCGAAAATTATCCTAAGACCTACATCAGTTCCATGTTGGTTCCACCAACTTGTCGAATTTGGCATGGCGTCCCTTAGAAGGAACTGCCCCCATGCCGGTGTTCGTTGTATTTCTTAGTTCTGCGTATAAAACATCTGTTCTAATTGCGTTGACAAAGGCGTCTACTTTCCACTTACAAATAGAATGTTATTGCGCGACCGGTCGCGTGCGATGACGGAAGCACTTGCGTGTATTTTCCGTGCGATAGAAAAACCCGCATTGGACGTGCTCCGGAAATGCTGTGGTTATTGAGGAAAAAAGTCACGGGCATAAGTGGACTTACGTGGACAGCTCAGTGTATTATGGTGTGATATTTTTCTTCGATAAGTGAAAGCTCTCATCCATGGTCCACCTACTCCCAAAACATAACTTGATTGTATTCAAATGAAAAAGTAAAAAACCACATTGTAACGGTCAGAAATTAAACTGCGTATAGAAGAGATTATAATTTTTCATAAACAGTCCATTCGCGCATTCAATTTGTACTAAAATCTCTGTAATCTACCAAGCCTTTGCTGCTAACTACGATATTTGCCTTTTACATTGCTTCTTCCCTGCATTACACGCGGTTTACTTTGTAACACCCTACTGTTTCAAACTAAGTTCCAACACGGCCGTTTTACAACAAAAACCAAGAGTTGGCACACATTTTCCTTTTTTCATATCTGTCGGATAAGCAGCCTCATTCGCATTGTTTGTACGGGACCTTTCAGAACAAAAAAGAGATATCCAAGTAGCCTAAGTACTTTGGCGAACACTGTCTGATAAGAATTTGACTCCAGCATGGGCTGCTTAAAACTAATGACGGATGCAAGGGTCCCAACACCGCCAGCTGGAGAATCTATATATGCGGATAAACACAGCAGTTGAGCTGACTGGCTTGCCGAAACTCTTAAATCGTAAATCATCAACACGTTGCCGGTCAAATTTTTTCGCATGAAACATCTCGTCAGGAATGTGTTAAAACAGCTTAATTCAAACAGGGTTACGATAAAAAAGAAATCTGCCTGACGTTTTCTTCCGAACCGTTCAGGAGAGATATGATATAATGCTAAATATGTAATTTACATGAATCTAAAATGCGTGGCCAATTAGTGAAATTGGAACAATCTAGTAATGTTATCTAGATACTAAGGAACGCAAATGATTGGCTTAAAATCATTGACCAACGTTGCCTTTTATGTATAAATCAACTCGGGTGTCCTCATTATCAGTCATTGGTTACACTGTATTGCACGGCTTGGCTTGTTTTCATTTATTGGGGACACATGTATCCTCTAATATTGGAACAGCTCAACAGTATAATATAGAGGCGATGGGGAAAGACGGCAAAATTTGTTTTGGAAGGTTTACGGAGGACTGATTCAGGCATAACTACATGACAATTCAAAACGACCCTGAACTTATTAGGTATTTTGTGCTTCCTAGAACTACTGTGTAGTTGTGGCTAGGCAGCACCGTCAAAATGAATGCACGTTCCACAATGAGATATGAGTAGTAGTGTGGGCGATACTGTGAGGAATTCACACCTTAAACATCCTTCACCAACCCGATAAGAGGAAACGCACGTCGTACACGATTGTACGATTAACTTTCGTGAAGCTATTTTTGTTACACACTTAAGAGGTCGCTCTGAATATCTATGCTTGATTTTCTTGACTAATGTTCATCGCGTTAGGTCCCAAGAAAATATATGTATGACGTAGGACGTTAGCAACGGTATCGTCGGCAAAATGTTTCTTACCATTTGAGTAAAACGTAGTTCCGTAATATTACTGGCTAAACAGGACGACCAATTACGAGTCGATCAATCTCCTGTGTTAGTGAA